ACTGCGCCCTGATTTGTACATCATCTGGCCTGCTGCAGGTGAATGTATGGATCTGTTCATATTCGGTACCTTGGCACAAATGTGGACGGATGCAAAGTACGTGGCGCATCCAAAATAGCGAAAGGTCAACACCGAAAGTTTCGAGCCATAGACTAAGTTTGGATAGTGGAGAGACTTAAAATCAACTTTGTGAATATGAAGAGCAATAGCCACGAAATGAAGAAAATGAATGTGAGAAAAAATGAAAAACAATTGGAAGACAATAGATAGCTAGCTTGGCTGCTAATGTGCAGAAGCCCAGCCCGCAGAGAAGCTCCAGAAGGTTTTGCGCTGAGACGCTGAGACTGGATCCAGAGCTCTTGAATCATTACGTTACTGTCTGACGTTCACCAAAATGATTTTGTGTCTTTTGGTCTAGAAGGTCGCACTCATAAGCGCGAACTTTGACGCTTGTTGTCGGGCTCGGTCTAGACAGGGATCAAACGAATTGAAACACGAGAGAGAGCATGAACTGGCAAAATAAATGTCCGTACCTGATTCATGGGTGGCCGATCGGCCGGGTCGATTGCGCTCATCTTTTGAAGATGTTCTGAAATTGTGAAGGATAACCTTTCCTTGCATAATAAAAAATCCCCGGTCTCAAAGGTGAGCCCCTTGGGTTTACGACGAAAAAAAAACGAACCAAGTTCATCAGGACTTCCATGCATTGCTGATTTCATGGTCTATGCAAGCGCTTTGTAATCAGGGAAATGAATTAGTATAACCGTGAGCATGAGCTGAAGAACTCGAACTAGTCCAGCTTCAATGAGAGCAGAGCGTTGTATCGATCGCCAGCGAATGTTTTGGTACGAAGCCAAGTGCACCCGTTCGTGCGTTGATAGCAAAGAACACTGCTGATGGCGTTGCTCTTTTGATGGGGTCATTACCTATCGTTTGGGACTCCGCCTCCTGCCTGACCTATCTACCATTATTAGAATGGATCCCTTGGTAATCTAGAGTTGGTCTGAGGATATCTGTCAACCGCAAAGGCTTCCTCCTTCCCTTTTTTCCTTCCTCCTCTCAGCCCTAATCCCTATTTTCCTTCCTCTGAATGCTTGACCAGAAAATGCGATCAAAATACACCTCTAGACCTTCGCAGGGAGAGAGTATCCGGTTGGCAGATGCCTTGTAGGGCCTCCCTGCTAAAGTGCAGCCTATTCGTTGAGGGGTACTGCTTCAGTTGTTCTGTTTTTGTTGTTGTTTCCAAGGAATCAATTTTTGAGGAAAAATTTTGATTTTTTGAATTTTTAGGTACAGTTTTCACTGCAGTTGTAGTTGAATGTTTTAAAAAGGATGAAGAGTTATGCTGAAATCGTGGGGTTTCTGAAGGAATTCGACCAGCTGAGAGAAGTGCGAGGAAAAAAGCGGGAAGAGAAGGTCGCGTAACTCTCCAAGCAGGGTCCATCCGATCCCGAGTACTGAACGAATGGAAGAAGAGATAGTATTGGGCGGAAGATTGGCCGCAAGAAATGAGAGCGCATAAGCTGCAAATAGCGTCACATACAATGTGCAATCATAATCCTCAGCGAAAGTCTTGCAAGCGTGCCTACACCAGCGAGCACTCAAGCGGAAACCCATGGTTGTGAACTCACTGTCGCCTATTGCTACGTGTATCTAGCTTCATTTCCAATCCATTGTGGCGTACTCCCTTTCCCAAGAGCCCGCGATCATTCACAAATCTCACAGATATATGTGGTTAGGAGCATTGCATGGCGACAGATGTCCTGAAGTAACTCGACAGTGACATGAAAACGCGGAAAAAAACGCGTGCTCTAGAATAGAATCCATTCGATCCATTTTGTTGTACGCCGCCAATAACTCTACTCCAATCACCACACCTCATCTGCCCAGCCTGATCTCCCGAAAGAATTCTACAGCCGACAGAACATGCTTTATCGTCCTGCAGCTTCGTTTTTTACCTGAAAGGGCCTTGAAAGGCGGAGTGTGGGGCGGAGTCACTGGCAGAAACGAGGCGATCAACTGAACTTTATATCGGCAAAAGGTTAGTGCGCAGAAGCTTACCTCAAGACTCTGTTGGTTAATTACTGAGTCCCCTGCATCGTTTTTACAACCTTCAACTGCTCTCCAAAACAATTTTGGCCACGCCTTTGATAAGCCCCGAAAAACCGCTGAAGTTTACAGTCGCGATCCCGCAGACGAAGTAGGCGGAATTGCGGACTTCATTACGACGCGTCGGTGGCTGTAATCTCGTTGGATTTCGTGCCGTGGCGGGATAGCAGCACAGTCTCGGCTTCTCTGCCTCCTCTATGCTTAAGGCCGCGCCTCTCTTTCTCTGGACACTGCCCGCATCGACGGCTGCACCGCGCAATCAGCTGTTTCCAGCCGATATTCAACTAAATTTTACTATTATTCTGCTTCCTTATCGCCACAATGATGAGGTAAGTTTATTTTATTTGCTCTAATTTTATGCGTGACTGCTTAGATCGCTTTTCGCTGCAATTTGAGCTATTTTAGTGGTGTTTTTGATAGTTTTAAATTTTGCCACGTGTCTAGTTTAGTTCTAGTTCTAGCTTTAGTCTGATTGTTTATTATTCTAAGCAACCTTAATTTCCAAACTATTGTCAAGAGGGTCCTCGACACTATTAAGGACACTTCAGGGACAATGCAATGGAAAGAAGGTGCAACGGTTCAAGAATAATTAGAAACACGCAAAAAAAAATTAAATAATCATCAAAAAACACACGTCAACAGCTCAAATTGCAGCGAAAAACGATCTATATAATCATGCCTAAAATTAGAGTAAATAAAATCGACTTACCTCATCATTATGGCGATTAGGAAGCAGAATAATAGTGAAATTCAGAAGATTATCGGCTGGAAACAGCTGGTAGTCGTCGATAAGGGCAGAGTCCAGACGGAGAAAAGCCGTGTGTCAGAGAGAGGAGATTAACAGCCCGCGTCGCGTTTGCAATTGAAGTCCGCAATCCGCCTACTCGTCTGCCGGATTCACAAGTGGAGATATGTCACCAGAACGACAGAAAGCATCATGCCGAGTCATCATGATGCCTGTTATGGACCTTCGCTGGGAACTGCAAAGCTGACCCCAGTGTCTATCATGTTCCCTTAGCTAGGAGCCATTTTCATTGTTTAAAACGCTGAATCAAACCTATGCGGGCAACAACAACCTCCTATTGAAAGCCATCGGAGGTTTGTTCGTACTTTCACTCATCATGTTGTATCAAAGAAGACGTTTGCTGAGTCAACAAGCGGAATTTCAATGGAAGTGGCAAGCGTTCCGCATTCAGCGCTTCAAACCTACAAAAACTGTAAGGTCAGCGGAAGCCAGTAGCAAAGGAAAAGCCAGCACAGCGCGATTTTTGGATCTTTGAGCAGGTTAGGATCGCGAAAGAATAATCAATATATTTGATGAGTTCTGATAACGCTTTGATTTCCATTGCTTTAATCAGCTGTTATCACTTACTGTCGTCCCAACCAGGTGTCGCCTTTTCCTTCCCTATACAAGTTCGTAGAATTAACTGTCACTTATTGCTGTCCCGACACAAATTACACTCTGATAATGTCGATGTTCTGACGCCCCCCTGTGAGTAATTAGTACTTATTATCACCGTCTACCGTCCACTATCAATATCCCTACCAACGCTACCATTCCTCATAGCACCTTGTGCGGCCAGCGCTCTCTTGCAACAAGGCGCGATATGAGTTCTGTGGCAGATGCATTTCGTCACTCCGGCCCCAAATGGTTATGAAGGGACAAAAATACTTTTGTTGCTCGAGAGACTGTGTGATTTTCCGTTTTTAGCCGTTGAGCGTCCTCAAGTCTCTACTCAACGCGTACTACTCATCCAACAAAAAGCGAACGGTCTTTTTGGAGCTTTCTTCGTTGATTTTCTTCTTTTTTCCTATCTGCTAAGTAGACTTGGTTCCCACAACTTCACGTTCAGACTACAGCTTCCCGCCCATTCATTGTGACCAGTATCAGTATCGTATGGCTGAAAAGATTGGACTGTAAGTACGTCCCTCGCAGACTTCTCTTTACACCACCCCCCCCCCCCCACTGTCCCAACACCTACTACAGTTTACCCATTCCATTTTCTCTCCCAGTACGTCCCCCCCCCCGACAGAATGTATTGTTTGGATCTTAGTTCAGCCTGCAACGGACGATTCCCCCAGGCCCTCGCCCTCTCATCGCAATCGAGCCGTCGCGCGGGGCATGGGAAGGAGGTGCGGGGGGTTGGGGAGATATATAGCACGCTAAAAACAGGAAAATCAAAGAAAATCAACCACCGCTCCTACAAGCCAAAACTGAATGTGGACCACCCCCTGTATACAACGGTCCGTTAAGCGTCAGAAAAAGCAATCTGTTCAAATAAGTTCCAAGCCCAAGTACACCACCCCCACCCCCCTCCTATTGAGATTTTCAACAACGATTGCCTGCTCAAAGGAGGCATGTAGATTTATAGGCCCAATGTGAAAGGGGAATTCGAATTTCTTGACATCCCAACTTCCTACCAACGATTTTCTGCAGGTTTCCGGAATTTCCCCTATTACTACCCAGAATTTGCGTGAGGAGGGTGGGGGTATCCACATGAAACCAGGTAACACGAGAAGAGTCAACAACCGGCGAAATTTTTATCCCACACGACAAGAATACTCCCAAATGGCACAATACGACCCCTTCCAGCAACACACAAATACGACCCCTACCTCCCCAGCTGAGAATGTACGACCCTATGTGTATTACACAAATCGATGCTGTACCCGGATTATGACTATTGTTGAGAGCTCTTTCTACAAAAACCTGATAAAACTAATAAACCAAGGCAAACGAGTATGAACTAAGCCCACTTCCAAAACAAAGCGAAAAGGAGCTGGGAAGAGGAAGTTCAGGTTCATTTGATAGCGGCGGTCGTAGGTTTGATGCAATAGGTGAATCGCGCTGTTACACGAGTCCCTGTTATGTAAATCGGACAGGGTATTATGCATGCACGTATTAAAAGTACTGTTTTCTGTTAACTAAAATGAAAGAGTTGTAATAAAACGGTGCAAAGCTAAAGTAGACATGACCTGTTCTGCCGCCACTATACCAAGCAATAGAGATATGGGTGCCTTGTGGTTAGTGCAGGTGACTTTCTCGTTGAAAACCATCATTTTCCAAACTAACCCCTCTGCTTTTTTTACTAGCATGGGTCCAGGATATGGTATTCGATGATTTGAACTTGCTCGAATGCGAGGAGTGAGGAAGAAGCCCGCTCTGCTCGTCAGCATCACGAGTAGGCATTCACTGGACAAGTTAGCTCTCTCTTAGCAGCACGACGACGTGACACATTGCGCAGTCAATACAGCGCAGGAGATGAGGTCACCGCTCGCCCACTGTCGACACATGCCCAACTTTCATGCCTGCAATACCTGATAGTGCGGTCGTTCTGCTACTACCTATATCCATTTAGAAAGGTGAGAGTGAGGTGATAAGGAGGAAGGGCTTACACTGAGAACTCGTCCGAGCGCGCCTTTTCATCGCCTCGTGCACCTACAAGAACTGTTCAGCATGGTTCTA